CGTAGTTGTCCGAGCATTCGTCTAAAAACTGGCCAACATTATCACAAATTCCTGCAAGCCGACCACAAGAAATCAGCGAGGTATTTTTCCGTTGCCCGCCTGCCCAAAATTCGCATGGCCGCCTGCCCCCCCCCCCCGCGATTATCTGAGTAGATAGGTTGCCTGACTATAAATCACTTATATGCGTTTAGTCGTAGCTTATTATGCTTGGCGTAATCAATCACTGCTTTGTGCTTAATTCATGATTATTTTCGCACCATAGCATAATTGATGCATCTTTGGAATGAATTACCCATTCTGACAAGGGAGGTCCGATTAGTTGAAGTGGCCTTTTTAAATGAGTCTTATAACACTATGACGAGCATTAAACGCCAATTCCAAATCTGATTTCATTAGCTGCCGAGCGCCTCTGCATGTCGAGTTATGCATATTTTGTTGGTGCGGAAAATGAACGCATAGTCTAGGTAAAATCAAATTTTAGATCTTTTCAGCGCTCAATTAGAGCAATGTTAAATATGAGTGTTTTAGACAAAAGGTATTGCTTAACTGGAATGCACTGATAACTGAGATTAGACCATTTGAGCAATTCTGACAAATTTTATACCCACTTATGCATTCAATTTTTTAACTAAAAAAAAATAAACGCTCATAATTCGACGACCAGAGGCGCTCGGCAGATAGCGAAGGCAGATTTGGAATCAGCGTTTGAAGCTCTTTATAGTCGTATCAATTTCATGTGAAAACTTCGACCTAACGGACCTCCCTTGTGAGGTTTGCGATAAACCGTGTGCGCAACTGCTGTTTCAACAACAACGACAATACAAAAGTTGTCATCGTGATTTTGTAAAGGTGCGGTGCTTTCATATTTTGAATATCTTACGTTTTACATGAGATTATACTTGTCTACTTTCCCATGCTCGATGTTGTATGTTTTATTATCTGATTTAACTTCTGTCTGGTGAATATGTCTGGCGTTTGGGAGAAGAATAAAATAAAATTCTATACTGATTCGTTGGCACATTTTTCTCCATTCACTGGTGGGATTTTGCCGCCTTCAGCTATGCGACCATTGCCCTTGCAGCCACTTCACAGGGAAGACTGCAGCATTAGCTGCAGGTTTTGCATAGGAGAGCACAACGTGCTCCTGTGCCTTAACAAGTCGCCGCATCATCATACCACGAAGCACAGAAAAATGTAAACGTCAACCTTTGCCGCCACCTTGCATGCCGAACTCGACGTGTCCTCGTCTCGACCGACCGTCGCCTTCAAGCCCATAATCGCTATAATCGCTACGCTTCATCCCCTCAACCCTACCATCGCTGGCCTTGATCCATCAACTCCTCAGCCCCCGTCTCACCATCACATTCGCCACTCGCCAGACGAGGAGCATTTGTTCCCCGATGACTGTTACTGCTCCAAATATATAGCAAAACAGAAAAGGGGAGAAGGCATGGGATATCGCCAAAAGGGTCAGAGCCAGCTAAAACTGAAATTAAACAGTGATAACAAAAAGCAAAACAAAAAATACAGTAAATAATCAGCAGAAATATTAGAGAATACAGAAGTACAAATAGAAATATGACGAAAAGAAGCTGGCTCGACGGCGATGTCAAAAACATAAACATCGCCGATTACTCCGTCCCGCTTCTTGCATCGCACTTACGGAGATGAAACGCGGTGATAAACAATTAACAACTCAATTACGGACTTGCAGAAACGCGAAAGAAAATCATATTACAAGACCTAACCCACTTTGATGGGGAGACCGGAGGGCACAGCAGTGATAGATTTGCGCAATAACGCTTCGGTATTATGCTAAATTAACAGTTCTACAGATATTTCAATTCGGCAAACATGTAGCCTCCACTCGATTGAGGCAGTACCGAAGGTGATCTAGTGTATACCCCCCGGATTGTTCTTGTAATCCATTTATTTACAGGAAACATGGAGAAATGGAGCCAAAGCAAAATGGCAGAACTCGAAAGAAGAGTGAAGGAAGAACTCGGAAGGAAGACCTTCATTATTGAGGAATAGCCATCAAAGATTCACGAAGGCACAGATCCGATAAACAATAAAACTCTGCGGTGACAAATGCAAGGAATTCGACGATAGGCTTAGACAGGCAAAGCTAGATCTCATTCCCTCAAGTAAAGGAGATGGGAAACCTCGTACACTGTATTGGATTCGTTGCGCTATATATTAGAATACAAGAACTTCGAGCACGAAATTTAGAAGCAAAGGGAGAGTTGTTTTCTTGGGCAGATCAACTACTTCTCGCTCATGAGTGGTACGAAATCTTGGTGGCGGCTAGCGAAGCTGAGGAGGTCGATCGGACCTACGGACTGTGTGGATACTCAAACCCGCAGCAAGTTCTTCCAAAGTACAAAAAAGACTCAATCGAACCAACACTACAAAAAATAAGCACAGGCTACGATGCCCTCGTCCAGGATGAAGCGAAAGAGGTTTACGGATAAGGAGAAACAATGAGAGCGAATGCCGCATGCTCAAGGAAATGTAAAACGCCGTCACAGCACTCGAAACGGAGTTGCAAAGGCAGCGAGACGATAGAGAATGTCTCAAGAGAAAAAGTCCAACTGGGATATCTAGCAACTCAGAGAAATGGTCACAGAACTTCGAGATGAAGTGAGACGCCAACGGCATGACTCGGATCGAAATGACAAATCACGGAATGACGGCTCTTTAGAAGAAATCAGGGAGGCGTTGTCACAGTTGAGATATGAGGTCCGCCAACAACACGCGGAGACTCGAAGTTGGATTCAAGGAGTGTATAAACACTTCGACCATCAAATGGCAGAGGAGAGAGAAGAGCATGTACAGCGTGAAAGAGGAGATCCGAGGTCAACGGGACTACATACAACAGAAGACCTCGTACATGGAACAGCAGTTGTCGGAGCTATCGACACAGAACAAGGAGGAATCAGAACGAAGCCGCAATGAGAGTTCGAAACTGTTGAACGAAATAAAGAATTGGATCACAAGAATTTACACCAGAGGCAACACGAAGGGCGAATCACCGGAAAGGCAACCGGAAGAGAGACACAGAAAGGTCGTAGGAAAAAAGAAGACCGTCACAGTCACAACGATCACAGTAGTCTTTCCGGAGAACGCAAACGCAAACGTCCGGAGCAAAAACATCTAACCCAGAAAAACGACACCGCCATGAGAAAGGAATTGCCGAGTGTTAGGAGGAGCAGAAAAGTACTCAGAGGGAATTAAAGACACTGTCCTGTCCAAAGAGACGGTTTGGTGAAAGAGGATTCACGCTCAGTCTGCGCATGTGCATACTATTTGAACATGGACAACATCTCTCCAACGTTTTCAAGGGTGTAGCCCTATTGAATCGTGAAGGAAGATGTTATCGCTGCCTGGAACGCCACTTGAGTGCTTGCAAAAAGCCAGCCCTATGCTTCTCTGCAAGAAAAGAGGAAGACGAACGATGCAGGTACGTCCATTGCCAGACGAGGTCAACCGCCTAAGACAGAGAAGTAGATAACTTGAGAGCAGGATAGAAGATTGCCAGCGCGAACTTCGGAACTCAGAACACGACGACAGACCTGACGACGACACACATCACAGTTCGGACGAACCGGGCCCCTTTCTCGACATTAGGGCTGGAGTATACGAACATGCGGTTCGTATCATTCTTTGATTCCTGAGGAATGTATAGCGCGCAAAGTGAATAAGGCCCGAGGATTTCTCACAACATCATGTTCTTTGGCAGCTTATTGATACATTTATCATACGTGCCTTTAGTCTGTTTATGTTCGCTGCGTAAGTAGACGGCATAGAGTAGTAAGCCAGTCATGTTGTACCATTTAATTTTCCTCTTTTCTTTGTATATTTGTTTGGTATATTTGTTGCTTCATCTATACTTGCCATGTTTGTCATACTCCCTTCAAAGGTCGCTCACAGCGAAATCACTGTCCCTGCACAGAAAGAACCCCTCACAGCAACTCACAGACTTGAATCACCTATGCTTGACCCTATACTGTTTGTGCTTCTCATCGTGGTACACCCAAGTTTGAGGTGTCGCTGTGCACGAAAGTCCCGCTAGCAACCGGTCAATCAGTGCACAGTCCACTCACTGATCGTACACTTTATTTAAGTTTGAGGTTTGTGATAAAGTTTGTGCTCAGCTGGTGTTTCAAAAACAACGATACAAAAAACAAAAAGGCCATCAGACATGCAAAAAAAGAAGCGAGGAGTACAACGCTCTATTCCCATGCAAGGAAAAAACCCCTCTGTTGCCTCAATGAAGCAATTGTACGGAAGAGGCTGACAAGTGTTGTCTATATTGAAAGTAAAGCCAGACATACCTCTAGGATATGGAAGTGATTTTCAAGATCAAATAAACAGGGAATAAAAGAGATACCTAGTCAACTACTAGCGCAAGGTCCCCTCATTATATATGTACCGCATCAATCGGTGATTACACCGAATATAAAAAAGAATACAGTGTAGAATATTCTCTTTGACCCTCGTTGCATTACAAATAATTTACTCCTTTTCCGATTGCATACTACATCAGGGCCCCTTGTTTTGCCAGATTTGACATCTCCACTACTTCAGTTCCGGTCTCTGCTTAAGCAATCAGATACGAAGAAAGACGTTTCTCCAAGTATCTGCATGAAAAAATATTGATTGTAACCCGATTCTTCAGATTCGTGACGTTAGTAATAGTTTCGCTCGTTGTTCATTCAGTTCTGCTTGTTCTACTTGCTTATTCAAGCAACTATGGAAAACAGTAACTGATTGTCCCACTTTTGAGTTCTTTCACTGTCGGAATGAGTTCTCTGGCTGTAGTGCTTATGTGATTTTGATATTCTCAACAAAACAGAGCGTCTGAACTTTATCAAGCCCATACTCCTAAATCGCCGCGGTGTATGCATTTGGCCATAGTTAGTGTTCATATGTAATAATTTAGTGATTTGCAATTTATTAAAACAATAGAACCAATAAATACAACAGCATAAAATTCCCTAAAATAAGTGATCACGCGGACAGCCTTCTTCTACAAACTTGTCTGAATCTATATGGAAGTACGTACGATGGTCATCGAGATCATAAGCGAAATTCGTGTTGCGACAACCAAAATCATCGGAAAGTTCACAGATCTGCAATACGAATATTCATAAAAAGTAATCTGACGAACTCGCTGGCAGAAATACGACCTTACCTTGAATGTGTCACCTTTTTTCATCTTATTATCGTAATGCACTAGGTATCTGTAGAACAGCGGTTGCCTCTCGTACATTGTGGCTGTCAGCAGAGATGCTGCTGGATCCGCTGATCTTGGTATGCTTGCAATCTGGAATATCATATTCATATTTTATCATATAATCAAATATGTGGCGAGATTCCCGCCAACACAGATTTCATGACTCAAAATTCTTGCTTCTCCAAACTCAGATTCCTTACCAAGAAAGTATTAAAAAATTTTTTAACCAGGTTAGGGAAAATAGCGACTCTACTTGAATTCTGTCCCTCGGTCAGTGGCATCCGAGCACAAGCGAAACAGAGCGCTCCCGGAAATTTTTAGAAATTGCTCATTTTTTATGTGCCTTAAAGCACAGAAATTTCAGCAATGTGGTGATAAATTCTTACCAAGCCATTACATTATAAGAAAGCCCAAAAATTGTCTCAATTATTCACAAGTAAAAGCAAGTCACTTGCACAATTTGTAGTTTTTTTTTCTAAAAAGTTGGCCATGACCGACTTTGATGGAGCAGCCACTTGTTCGGTCCACCATTGCCCTCTGCATCTAATGAAGTTTCGAAAAGGAGTATGCAAAAATCAATTCGAGTTTAATGCTTGCTCCCACATTCAGTACTATTCAAAGTTTTTGTGTGGTGGGTGTGACCTGAAATGAATGAAACAAGCTACAACTCACAAAGTCGTTTTTCTTTACCACTCGATAGCGGAACTGGATGTGTTCTTCAATCTCTTTTGCAAATGCAACATTTCCTGTTCGTGGTTCTCCGAATGTCACGAGTCGGATCTGTAAAATAAAAGTTTCTCAGACATGTTCGGGGAATTGTAGTAATGTCTTTGACTACAATGTTGAACAGAGCCTGGCTCCAGCTGGCACGGGGCAAGCTGGGTATGGCTTTTGGCCTTTGGGACAAAAAGCGAAGGGGATATCGTTTTTGCGGCCGAAGATTGTGACTTTTTTAAGTGACGTTTCCTTTTTTTGAGGGTTTTTTATGTCTAGCGTTTAGGTCAAAGGAAACTTCGTAAAACTTAGTGAAAGTGGAAGGGGACTTCGAATTAAAAACTCCGTGGTGCCAGCTCGTGCCGAGCCCTAATGTTAAGATGATCCGCGCTTTTTACGTAGGCGTTTAGTTTAGAGTGGTAAAGTGTAGAAACGGTCTGAATGAGAAGTTCGAAATGACCAGATCAGTGTCTGAACAATTATGGTTAATTGGCACTTCGAGGCTCGGTAAATTCGTAAATTTGGCCTATGCGAAAAAATCGCTGTTTTCCGAGTTTCCAGGTATTTTAGCAGTCATGCGCATACCATTACTCACTTCAGAGCAGATGTCGTAAAATGAACTGAACTAACGAGTTTTTATGATCAACTTAACTAAGGAGTACTTACAGTGTTAGGATCAACTAGTTTCTTTTTGGCTAAGTATAATGATGTCATTGACGCAAGCGATCCTCCGAGAGAGTAGCCGGTAATCTGAAATAGAAACCTATCATATACTGAGTCATCCAGATAATCCTTAATTAACAGTGGCAATAAATAAATACTGTAAACATTATTAATAAGCTAAAAAATCTCCGATACGATATTACTAGAAGAATAATTGCAAAGAATTAACATTATCCTTACCCAGACGCGAAATCCTCGATACTTCTTGACAAGTTCGAGAGCGTCATCTTTCATACCACTATCGACGAAAGACCTGTAATATTGGAATTCAGAAGCAATAAATGCTTAGCAAAAATGATCGTCTAATTCTCATACTTGTAGAAAGCATTGTGGAAGTAGGAGACCACACCAGCTTTTTGACCCTCAAACTTTTCCCAGGCCCCAAGCTGAGCTCCAAGACCATTTACCATCTCGGAGACGAGCTAAAAATGCAGCTGATCATTGACTATATAGACTACAAAACTATTACTTGTTTGCCGAATAGTAGATGACTGAATGGTTTAGGAGTTATTGTGACAGAGAAAATGAAAAAGGTAATTTGCCTGTTTCCTTGATACAGTATCTCCAAAACCAAGATAGATCGCTCTTGCCTCTTCAGAAACACCAATCATACTACCGCAAGTGTTACCAGAAACATCACACTCTACACTATATGTTCGAACAAACCTAGAAAAAATTTTGAAACAAAAGTTCGTCGTTAGAGTGATTTTCTCTTACCCGATATCTGGTCTGAGATTATGTAAGCACGATGTGATATTCTTTTGATTCTTTTGTGCAAGAATTACAGCAAACAATGAACGTCCAAGTGCATCCGTATACCTTTTGCCTTTAGCTTGTGAATACTGAAATATAAAGAATGTAACATTATATCGTCATGTCTCAACTTGAAAATATAAGGAACAATAAGATTTTATAGTACTGTCTGCTCTTTAGTTTCATGAAACCTCTCTGGAGATCTATGCCCTCAATCATTTATCATAACAAGATGATTATGGTCATTAGGAATGCGCAGTGCTGATGCCTATGAGTTGCGACACATCAGTAAATTTACGGTGTGTCGTCGGTAATGTTGCTACTATGCCGGTTTCTAAATCTGTTTTCAATTCGCATATACTCTGCATAAATCCAACTCAGGGTATGCATCAAGTATCAAAAAAATCAAAGAATTTTCGACAATGATCAACTTCTAAGAAAATCCTGACTACAAAGTTAACTATCGCCCCAGCTTTTGTAAACAGAGGTCTAATAACATTGAGGGGACTAACTTTTCATGGAAAGGTATCAGAAGACTTACTTTTACAGGACATCTAAATGGATCCCGTTGTACCACAGGTTTTCCGAGCGGGCACGATAGAGGTCCAACACACATTTTTGCTTCCACGCACCATCTATAAGTATTCAAATCGGATAGAGCGTTGAAAGAATTTTTTTTATAATCTGACATATTTGTAGCCAAATTGTAAAGTGTGTTGCTTTACAACTCTGGCTTTGCATATCATGTTTATTGTTTCCTGTGTGCTTTGCAGCAGACACATCGGTTCTGTACCATCACTCCGCTCTTTACTTTGATATTCCAAGGAGTTAGTTTATAATAAGATGCCTATCTAAAACGCATTTGATATTCGTACATTTTATTCGATTTGTACAACTCACTGGAACATCGCAGGACAAGCAAACTTTGCCGAACTTCATCGAGATATAAGAATTTTACTGATAAAGAAATTAGAACCAGATGCGACGCAAGAGCGAAGAAATGCAGATCAACTGTTAAATTTTTGAGGAGCATTTCAAAAGTCATAGAGCTACTTCGCAATCATACCTTCACGAGTTCTGCTTTAGTCCTTGAGAAGTTTGCCACTATGTGAATATAACTCAAAAGCTATGTAGCTAATAAAGTACAGTAATTTTTGTAAGTAACAAAGACGTTGCAGAAGTGAATTTTACTTCAGATTTCTTTCACATCTCCAAACCCGGTGAAAGATTAAAAAGCAGGCAGTGTTCAGGAACGTACCTGCAATGTTCTCGAAAACCGAGCACATGTGTAAATGATTCTGCACAGGTATGACAGTCTTTTGCATCCCTGCAAAAGTTCACAGCACCAGAGTAGACCGTTGCGCAGAATGAAAGCAATAGTATTGGAATAATCATTGGCCCCTAAAAGATTGAAATATTCTTAGTCATGATAATGAGATCCGTCAAAGCAGCTAGTCGAGACGACAACATTGAGTCTGGTCCAAAAATATTGCAGTGTTGTTACTGTGTTGTTACTGTTGTTTAACGAAGTGAAACGAGTGAAATGTAGAGTTAATTCAATGAAGCCTTTTAAAAAGTCAGAGGCATGATAAGCTAACAACTGTGATTCTTTTTTTAAGAAATGGCTCTTGCATTGCGAATACAAAACCAACGCTTCCGTCCAAAAATGCGAATAAGTGGTTTTTGTTTTCAGATAAGCGAGGAGAAAAATTTAAGGCTAGCCACTCTTAATTAGAATCTATCATTACACAGGTCTTACAAAAAAAAATTAGTTAAGGATCAAATTGAGGACAAAAATGCAGTATATTGCTTCTTCGGCGAGACTTTTTCTTGCAAAGAAAAACTAAATCGCTAATTTAGAATTTGATTAATGCCGGCTAACATGTGGCACCTATTGAATAATTTAACCTTTCTAGTTGTTTTGATAGAAAGGTGGGTCTCTTTTCGGTCCTTTTATGTAGACTGCCTTACAAAGTTGAGGGGGTGGGAGGAAGGAGGGGGGGGGGGGGGAGAAGCAATCCTCAATCGAGGTTTCTGATACTATAAACCTAATTGATCACAGCCTCTTAAATCATGCTTTTCGAAAGCACGTTTGCCATGAACCTTTACCATACTATATTTCTGCCACTCATGATAATGATCGACATAATTACTACATTTGAATCAGGTAAAAATGGTTCACATAGACAAGACGGGATGATGAAATGACCTGGATACGTGTTTACAATGCGTTAGGAAATGGGGTCGGAGAAAGTCTCAGCCCGCTAACTAAATGCCGACGTTCTCAACGAGAAGATGTACTTGCCCTCTTCATTTCGCAACTTAAACATCTTAGAAAAAACTAAATAAAGAGCCAGGGTGATGACCAAGACTTGGCGACAGGTACGCGCAGTCTGTTATCGTGTAATAATGACCCTTTAGTCAGCACTCAATTTTGCAATTTTTTTGCACATCAGTAAAGCTAAGGAGTTAGAACCCAAGATAAGCTGATTTATCTATTAGGTTGTCCGGAAATTAATGCCCGTTTTGAATTTCAACCTCAATAAGTCATACACTTCTCACTTTTAAATAGGTTGCAATGTATCATTCGATAGAGCAAAGCAAGTTCTACAAGATGGCCATCTTGTTTTTGCAACAGCTCTCATCCATCTCGAGTTGCAAGGCAAAAAGTAAAAAGACTCAGCAGCCCGAAAAATCGAAAAAAAATCGCAACTCAGTTCATAAAAATCCTACAAAAATTCTAACTTGCTCACGTAAACACTATCCACATAAGACATCTATATACGCTCTTGCCTTATTTTTTCCTCTGTTAGAGATCAAGAAAACGGAAGTTTTCGTGCATTTGCCAAAGTGATGCTGTGCCATCCCCACATAGGTAGTTGTATACCACAAGCCTGTAGAAGTACAGACCTAAATTTTCAGCTCTCTACAAGCTTTAGTTCTCGAGAAATACCGAGTATAGCTTTTCTAGTCAGGTGCTCCAAGCTAAAATTCAAATTTTTCGAGAACTAAAGCTTGTAGAGAGCTGAAAATTTAGGTCTGTACTTCTACAGGCTTGTGGTATACAACTACCTATGTGGGGATGGCACAGCATCACTTTGGCAAATGCACGAAAACTTCCGTTTTCTTGATCTCTAACAGAGGAAAAAATAAGGCAAGAGCGTATATAGATGTCTTATGTGGATAGTGTTTACGTGAGCAAGTTAGAATTTTTGTAGGATTTTTATGAACTGAGTTGCGATTTTTTTTCGATTTTTCGGGCTGCTGAGTCTTTTTACTTTTTGCCTTGCAACTCGAGATGGATGAGAGCTGTTGCAAAAACAAGATGGCCATCTTGTAGAACTTGCTTTGCTCTATCGAATGATACTTTGCAACCTATTTAGAAGTGAAAAGTGTATGAATTATTGAGGTTGAAATTCAAAACGGGCATTAATTTCCGGACAACCTAATAAGTTGAGAAAAACGGAAAGAAGCGTCGTATAAGTAGCTCTCCGATTAACAAGTCATCTAGCTGCAAAATCAGCGATGTAAAAATACATGTAAATGCAACTTGTCTTAAATAAATCTGCCTACGGTTTGATTGTTACCAACTCTCTTATGAAGTATTTGGAAAAGCTTTAGCTAGATTTTCGTAAAGCTGGCTTCATCTTAGATTCACAGTACATAGCAAATCACCGAGCGCTCTTCATTACAGTAGAATTACGGTAAGAACTTTGAAAATGGTTGTGAGCTATGGAGGCCCATATTGTGCCTCAGAAAGAAAACAAAGCGGCTTGGAAATTGTCACATAGGCTAATTATATTTGCAGATTCTAAATATGAATGTTGTATCTCATCGTAACGCTTCCTTGAAAAGCTATGCCAGGTAGACAGCGGCCGTTATTTTTATGTTCTTAAAAACGTAATTAGACCATTTAGAAAGCTTCACAATCTTGTACAAAGTTGTGTATCAAACCCAGCGTCCATGAAACCCTACCATGCAAATTTTTAGATTTTTTTCTCATCGGCATTTTCTCACTGTGACGTCATATGATGAACTTCCGGTGTTTAGGAATTTCACCACTGTGGAATGACGATATCCTACCGTTCCTACAACGATGAAGAGCGACTAAAAAGCCTCCAAAACAGGAGAGTTATTAACATTCAAACAGTAACCACATTTTTTTTTTTGAGGACACCGTGCACATGATATCAACACATAACAGCACCATCAATAATAGGGGTAGATTAAGAGCTGAAGCTTATGTAGCTTTTGATGAATTCTGGGCGTGTTCTATATGTATTTATATTCGATTACGATAGAGTAGTCTTAATCACTATATTGGTCGTACTAGATAGAGCAGAGAGGTTTGCGCACTTACTTGAACATATCAGTTTGTGGGTGATTTTGGTTTAATTGCAAGCGAAAAACTATGCCTCCTTCAGGAGTCGACCAAGCTTTGTTTAGTTGATCAGGGGCGGAATCATCTACACGGGAAGTGTAGTGAAATCAATTTAAGCGAAATTTCTGCATTTTTGTCTGAATTTTCTCGCTATTTCGGTTATGAGTCCATGAAAATTGGATCCGAGAGCACCATTCGACTCAGCCCGGCTAGGGTAGGGATACGGTAGTTGGAGGGAGGTAGTTACCTCCCACAAATTTTTATTGAGATTTTTGTTGAGATATTACTCTGTTTGAAGATAATATTTACGTTGAGTTGGTGTTGGCAGCGCTTTATATGGATATTGTAGGAGCACGGTTTAAATTCAATCTGCAGTGATTTATTGAGGTACTTGCTCAAAGTGACTATTTGCGCTGATTGCAGAACTATGCTCATTTGCACCTCAACATATGAGCCTGCACACTGTGCACGACAAGCAATAAATTTTACTGGTAATCGCAATTATGTTTCTTCTGGCGGAACAAACTGCGGAAATGTGCATTGTTACCTAGTAAGAGTCGAATCAACCAGCTTGTTCAGAGGTATATAGTGGACTTTTATTGTAACGTCATCTTGCAAGGGGTCAGTCATGCTGATAGATAGTGGTGGTATAGCGTAGCGCATTTTGTACTCAAGGTGTTCTAGTAAGTATCGTCCGTAAAGCTATATCCATATATCATCCTAAGCAAAAAATGATTTAAAGGCTCCACCCTTGAAATCGAGAAAACAATTGGTGAACTTTGCAATTTTGCAGGCTCGACGAACTTGATTAACCACAAGTCTATAGTGGTATATAAGAAAGCTACTTTGGCGTTGATGCTTTGATCAGCATGCTACTGAGTACTCTGACTGAGTTTTGCTTTGATCTGAGGCTTTCAATTATGTTCTGCGGGCGGTTTTCCAGTAGGACGCAACTCAGTACATCGTGTAGTAGAGAGCTCTTATAAGCACCATTGAGTAGAGCAGCTTCCCGAATTTCTTATCTGCTAACCAGAGGAAGACGTTGTTGATGTGAAGGCAAAAACTAACAGACTTTAGGACTTTAACAGACTTACCATTTCTACCTGAAAAGTTACCGTAGAAGCACTGTTATAAACTACAGAGTGTCCCGGATGTGCCTACTGTTTGATTGACAATAACTCTCTTGTAATGAAGTCTTGCGAGAAGCCTTAGTTATCTAGGTACCGTTTTGTAAAGCTGGCTTTGACTTAGATTTACTATGCAGCGATTAATTAGCAATCTATTAATTAATTACTAATCTATTAATCTAATCGATTACTAATCTATCTATCAATTAGCAATCTATCTTCATTACTGTAGGAGCACGGTAGGAACCTGCAGCATATGGCACCACAGGTTGTTTGGAAAAAATTCTCCAGAAAAATTTGAAAAATTGTGTAACAAGGTTTTCATGCATAATGATTACAGTACACAAATTTTGGTGTTTTTGAAGAGCTTTTCTGAATGGCTTAATCAGACGAATAGCAGAAATTGGTTATTTGTTGTGGTATTTCTGAATAACATAAAGAATGCGTTGCGGTGAAGTGCGAGTTTCATGTTTGGAATCAGCATCTCTGATACCCAGTGTAGGAGCTTCAAGCTTCTTTGGTTCTATTTTGAGGTTGAAATATGACCCTTATCAAAAACTCTCCTCAAAGTTCCTATCGTAATCCTACAATAATGAAGGGGCATTTTGATTCGTACCATACTGTAAATCTAAGTTAACGCTACCTCTACATAATGGTACCTAAAGTTCTCGAAAGACTCAATTACAGGAGAGTTATTGAGACACCCTGCATTTTGCGGATCAAGTGTGATTTTTGATACCAGGTCAACTTATATGAACAAATTTTCCAAGGAGATTTTACTTTTTCTCGTTCCTCGCTCTTGACCCCAGCGCTTTTGGCTGAAATATTGATGACCTTTTATTCGGAAACTTTGCTCACAGTGGTTTTCGCACCCACTGCTCATAAAAATCCTAGCTATTTCGCACTAAAGGGGTTCCATAGTAAAGTAATCCTAAGAAAAATGCAGCTAGACCATGCAAAACTGACTTCGACTGCATTTTTCGACGTCTGCATAATTTGTAGGTTAGAGACTCCGTGAAGAGCGCTATCAAACCATGCTTTACACAGGTCCTATCTGCATCGTTCGCTGAGTTATGAGCAACAAAGCCACTTTCTTTTAAAGTATGTTGGCGGATTCAAATCACAAGAGCATGTGCGGTACGGGCAAAAAGGTACGAAGAGAAACTGTGTGACTGGAATTTCCGCTGCCTCACCAGGGCTCGGCACGCACGAGGTGGCTAGATGAAAATGGAAAAAACGAAGTCCCCCTCGACTTTTGGGAAATTTTACGAAGTCCCCTTTGACCCTCAACCAAATTTCTTCTAAAAACCTGAAAAATTCCCCAAAATCCCCCAAAAAACGAAACGTCGACTAAAAAAACGTCGCCAAGGCGCCAATTTTGCGTCTCTCTTCGGTCACAAAAACGAAACCCCCTTTGCTTTTCGTCCCAAAAACGATATCCAGCTTGCTTGTAAGCCACCTCGTGCCGAGCCCTGTGTTTCACTTCGTCGAATAAGTAAGCGGCCTCTGCGTTGCTTTTTCACAAATCACAGTATTGTATATGCTTTCTTCACTTCCATGCTCTACTCATTTTCTTGTCCCTCCACAGAGCTTTACGGTGAGGAGCCATTATATTGTCCTTTTAGCCGTATTTGTGCACACATATTTTTAATGCTATTTCCAATTCACTTCAAATTCTCCAGCTTTAAACGTGTCTAATGTCGCCATCTTCACACCGTACAACGGCGGACATTATATGAGGAAGCGATTCCTTCATTTCCTTGACCAATTTTGTTGCCTAAACTCATTTTTGTAGAAGAAATGTTTTGCAAAGAAGCTTTTGACAGCATACCAAGTTGCAGTCGAATTCTGGTAATAGTATAAATGTTGTTAAATTACCACTTGTATTTTGACTGCGGACATTGTGTCCTAATCCTCCGTAAGTGATATTATGTCGCGTCATTGATTGCAGAAACTAAAGAGAGAACATCTCTTTAGTCGGACCTTTCGAGAGAGAATATTTGCCTGAGCTTTAATAGACTTGTCGTAGTCTGCGAGTTGAGTCTCATCATAAGGTAAATCCGTAGGAAATATCATAGTTGTCGGTAGCTTAATTTGAAATCTCGAAATTTGTGCCGTGGGGCTAGTTATCGGCTGTTCGGTTGGTGCCGGAGGGCTAGTTGCCGGTTGTTCGGTTGGTGCCGGAGGGCATGCCTCGAAAACTTGAGTGTAGGGTGGTGAACTCGAAGTTTAGAGTAGTCAATGAAAATATCAAGATCATAAGGAGCCTAAAACTACGACATGTACGATAACACCCGTGATTTTCACCAATCACGGGTGGTATTGTAGTTTAGCTCTCGCTCAAGGCTTCATAGTGTTGTAATTTAGCTCTCGCTCAAGGCTTCTTAGTCCATTATTATCCCAATTCGATATCTCAAATGCGAAAATTAGAGCTGGATGCAGTCATCGCTGCATCGATCTATATGTTGCGGTAATTGCAAATAGGGTCTTATTCATAAAATAATAAATTCATGTAAGCGTTTCGAAGTTGATCCTTCCAGAAACTATATTCTCACTCGCTCACAATCCCCACATATGCATCGCTTGCGCCCGTGTTTTACGTCGCAGTATCCCCAGCAATTCTAAATTTGTTGGATTTATCGCACCAGAATACATGCATGCACAAGGGCTTACCTTACGCTTCCAGCATGCTGCACCGCATTTCTTGAACGCAATTCTGGGGTTCACAAACATGTATCTGCACACATCCGGCTTTCCTTTCCATCTTCTTGACTCCACAACCACCTCCAAAACCAGTAACAGCAGCAGCATGCCCACGAAATAACGCATCTTTTCGGATTTATCAACTGCTCTGAAAAATATCCTCAGTTTTTGAGAAAGCAGAGCAGTTTAAAAGAGTCAGAGAAAGGTTTGGATATGATGGCTTGACCTAGAGCTGGATGTCGTAGCCGATAAAAAAAGCAAAGGATATAATCTAGGGTAAGAGCTATCACTTCGGAATGAATCGCGCATATAAACCCTTTAGCTTTTACGGCGTTCTTTCCTGAAAAATGTGCAGGTAAGCATTTTTATTTGTCAATGAGCTTATTAGACTGCAAAAATATAACAGTTAGATAAATATCGTAGGATTCACAGGCTGGGCGCAAAAAACACCACTTTCAGGAAAGGTTTCCAGCTCTATATTATCTTTCAGAATTGCGTTTGTCAATCTTTCTTTTGGCTGGTCAAAGGTGTGAACTCATTTGGTGATCGGGCATTTCTTCGGAAAAATAGAAACCCCTCGCAAAGCATTACTACCTAAAAAAAAACCTTGGCAGTGTGGAGCAGAGGAAGAATTAGTGCGTGAGCTAATAGAGAAAAGTGATTCGATGTATCCGTGGCACCACGTAGAGTCCCTTTTATACAGTTAGTATGTCAAGAACCTCTATTTAAACTATTGTCATTGCCAGTGTTGTATAACTAAATGTCGAAGATATTCATCGTCTTCTCATCAAAAGATGATGTCAAGAGCCAATATTGTAGATATTTTCTGCTCACGATACCAAATGATGTCAGATGCTTGTAGCTGACTCATACTTGGAATGGTAGAATGCTTGATCGTTCTGCAATATGTTTTAATGAAAATGGCATCGAAGTCTCGAAGAAAGGGCAACATGGAAATATTTCGGAATACAGTTCTTTATGATTTTGAACGACCCAATCAAACCATCCCCTCTTCTCTTTGCCGTAGGTCGATTTTGAGAAGTATAGCCACACGCACTGTGCGGCGCGGTGCTTTAAACCTACAGCTGGAAAGTGCAGATTATGTTGCAGGAACCCCGACCTAAACCGTCTTACATGTCAAATCATTTTTCTACAGCCCCTGTCATCCTCCTGGATGTTTTCTGAGATCGTACGATAAAAGTAGAAAATAAGAAAATTTTTGCACATCTTTAGCAGAAACTTGATAAGTGATGTAAGGATGTTTATGACCACTGTTCACTTGGCACTGAAGTTCAGCATTCGCGTCGCATGGCCATATCTTCGTTTGCAGTGAACAAATTCTCCTATATATACAAGTGCTCATTTGATACAGTATGTGGTCAGAATTTACAAATCTTTATAGATTTTCTCCTGCGGTACGTTTCCCATTGTGCAGTGAAATAATCACAGTGGGTCCTACCGTAAACAAAGGTCTAAACAGACTGCAAAATACCGTCTATCGTGCAACCACTATGCAAATTAGCACTTCGCTGAGCGGTGCCCTTGATTTCAGAATTCGTCTACTCTGGACCAAGATATGCCCATGTGACACGGATTTCAGTAAACATCGCTGGAGTTCGGTTACTGTTTGATGGATTATGAGCGGCATTGTAGGTACATTTCAGAATCAAGAACATTTTCTTTTCAGGCAAACGCTTAAAATAGCAAAATGTATGACATTAGGTTCCTTTTGTCACGCAAACCTATACCTCAACATGGCTTTTCTAAAAGCTCAGATCTTTGCTTTTCCAAGCTTATTTCCCACGCTGTAGTGAATATAGAGATGAGGAGTGATTCAGATACGACTGTTTTTCTTTATTTATCGAATAACGATTGAAAATGTGAATGCCGTTTTAGAATTCTCTGATTTCAAAACGGCAGTTCACGATTATTATTGTTATTCGATAAATAAAAAGTCAAACAAAGGAGATTTTCCCATATTTGCGCACAATGAAAAAATTTGGGGTATCTCACTTCCTTGCGTTCCTTCATCGATAAATATATTCTAGCAATGCCAATTATTAAAGAAAACTCTGTCTGCAACATTTGTAGCTGCAAAAGCGACCGAACTTGTTTATCAGCCAACCTAATATCATGTTGGCTAATGAATAAGATTGTTTTAATCAGTATGAAACTTTATGTCTGAGTAGGCTATTCAGCAATCTTTTTTGTGTGGGAGTAGCTTCAAACCTCTTTGAAATGTCAGATACTCATGATTTTCCGACAAGTAAGGAAAAGTTTTAATTGCCGTGGTGTGGCTAGTCTATTGAAGAACTGCATTTTTCATTCCAAGTTCCGTCCCACATACAAGTTTTGGCCTATGGCGCACCTCAATGAAGATTGCGACTTGCAGTTTGCGAATACATATCTGTAGTCAGAATTGTAAAAATTTTCTACCACCATGAGCGGGAAGCAATTTCGAGCACATTTTCCACCAAAATTCATGTATTTGTGCGATTTTTTAGCAATTGGTGACAAAATCTGTGTTTGACCCTTTCCTGCACCATTTCGCCATCAAAAGTATTGACTACCTAATTCTCCTAGCAGGAAATTATAATATCACTTACAAAACTTCAAATGGTACCAAAAATGCATACGAAAATTGTTATTAATATTTCCACAAGATCTACACTTATAGATCTTCAGTAAGGCGTTTAATATTGCGAGATTGTAAATAGGTTCTATCAAAAAATAATTGAGCTACTCCGATGAGAACTATACCATCTCATGAAAAGTATTAGGTTGGTGCAAAAGGAATAGCTGATTTGCGAATTCTCACTTTGACGTGCTATAACTTTTGGAAGAATTCACATTTCCGAATGCGGTAAAAATTGTCAGAAGCAGCAAACCTTCTGCAATGCAGCGCACATTTACGTATACTCACATCACGAACGGGCAGAAAAATATGGATTGAAAAATAAAAAAGGTTCTTCTGCTAGAACCTTGTCTTTGACAATTCATATCTTCCTTCAAAGTTTGTTAGTGTAAATGTTAAGTAGCCTATCTTGTAGCCGCAAGCCAGTAGTACAAAAAGCAATAAAAAGATTTCGGACAGAAAAGGCGAAAAAGAAAAAAAATTGAAATTTGAAATTTCTCACTTTTTTGAACATTTTTCAGTGTGCGTCAAAGTCCCGAATATAGAATCTTTTGATTTTCTAGGTACTGAACAGCTGGATGTTTTTGCAAAAACTGCTAACAGGATGCCCTAGCCCTACGCTTACAGAATTGAGCAAAGCTCCGGCGATTGACTTCTTCAGAATAAAATTATGGGTCATAAAATGACCGCAACAGCTACCCATGTTTAGGCGCCGATATCTCAGTCTGGATAGCCTCAAAGAACACAGTCAAGTATGCATAATGTAGACAATTTCTATTACATACAATAGCTAAATTTTCGGATAAATCCCATTAATAAGCGCTTAAATTCTGGCCGGAAAAGTGAATGCAATGAAATCTGAATTTGGATGCGGTTATTTGAAGCTCAGTAACTTTACAAGAAATGATGAGGAGAGCCCGTTTTAAGCACCGTTAGATAGAGCATGAAAACAGCATCGCGATGGTATAGTACATCTATTGTAAAGAAGAAGAATTGATGAGGAAAAGTTGCCCTGAAAAAGGCTTGGAAAATCGGCCATTCCTTTTGCACCAATCTAATACATGAAAGATTAGTTTTCGAACTTAACAGCTTATCACTTCTCAAGAACTTCATTAATCCGGTTGCGAGGTTGTTAGTTAATATTTTCAAGAGCTTTCAGATGTAGAATATGCATCAATGCCCCTCCCACACACACCCATACCCACCCTACATCCCTTGAAGAGAAAGCTTTGAGTGAAATTTTCGCGAAGTTTTCGTGAAGTTTTCAAGGAGTTATGGGCTGTTCAAATTTGAAAGCCGATTTTTCAAGTCCTTTTCAGGTCTTTTTCAGGCCCACCCCCTTTTTATTTGATTGAATAAGTATGAGGTTGCAATACTCTCCCATATTTCGTTACGCTAGAAGAAATTTTACTGGGGATTCAGCAATAAGTTTCGCTGCTTGTCGAACGCAGTGTGCATGCTCACAATTGAAATGGTTTTTTCTCCAAATGATTCGCGCATAATTTATGCAACCAGCGCAAATAGTCACTCCAAGCAAGTTGAACCTACAGTACCCATACAAAGTGCCGCCGACATTAAATCAACGCAAATGCTACCGCACAGTGAGTAACCCATCGAAACATAAGTCTTGAAAAGTATTCATGACAACTGACTCCCTACCGTATATCTACCGTATCCCTATAGACTATTGCGCTTCTATACATCGGAAAATGCATCTCGCCGAGCTGAATCGAATTTTACTCCTGGATTCACAATTCATGAAGACAAGGAGGCAAGGCAATGCGCGAATTCGATAAATTTCTGGCAAAATTAGGCCCCGCCGCTTTCACCACAAATTACGAGGTTAGATACCGTATGCGACAAGTTTTCAATTTTTCACTGAGAATTGGGACCACTGAAATAGTGATGCTTGGATTGGCAACCCTATAGTCGCATTTAGACAATGAACATTTTTTTTACTTCACTAGCAGTCAACTTTTTTCAAGTTCACTCATATCCAAGTCACTTCGCATTTTTGTTGATTTCAAAACTACATTGAGTCTTGAGTGGAACTATGTTCATTTCCTGCAAAACCTGGAGTTTATTTTTTGGAGTTTTGGAGTTTATCTGCAGTTTTGCGCGAGAAAAAAATTGGGAGACAAAAGAGCACTGGCGGTTTTCAAAAAGCAGGTACAGGCACGTTTAAGTGCTGCACTTTCATCAGATGGAAGGGTTTTGAGAACACATTGCTGAACTATTTTTCGAATGGGGGGAAGGGGGGGGGGAAGGAACTGAACTTGCGAAAGTTATGATCTCTGAGTGAACTATCAGAATAGGTTATGTAGAACCAAAACGTTATTCGCCTGTCTAATTTTCTACTCAGACTTGAAACATCAAGAATTTCTACCTATACACCAACCTCGAGCGATTCCAAATTGCAGAACGCACAGTCCTGTACGGCATAAGGGTATGGCAAATCAGATAAGTATAGTTGTTTCAAAACAATATCATCCTGGAAAAAAAGCAAAGCTGAAAATCAAA